CACTGCTGCCGCCAGTGGCAAGGGCTTTGCATCATAGGGGGGAGCATGCGGGGGAGTCTCCACACTCTTTCACCCTCTGTCACACCCTACAAACCTAACACACATTCACAGCTTGCCCACCTGAGCTCCATGCTCCCACTCCCCTGCTGGGCATGGACCCTGGGCTTCCCACTCCTGCCAGCCCCAAGCTCCACACTCCCACCCAGCTGCAGCTTCCCTACCTGCTGCCCAGAGGGAGCACTGCAGCAGGGATACAGGAGAAGCCTCTGGAGGCTGGGAAAGCCAACCAGGTCTCCCAGCAGCTGCAGCAGTGGCCCTGCCCGGAAGCTATGCATGCTGACTGGGGCTGGGGCTGGGGCTGGGGCTGGAGCCATCCCACACAGGAGGGTACAATTCATTGGTGGGTGCCTTCAGGCCAGATGAAACCACCCTGCGGGCCATATTTTGCCTACCCCTGTGTTAGTAGATCAAAAGGTGGTTTTGGATTGAGCAACTTACATATCTAGCAACCTCCAGATCTCCAGGAGGTCCTTAAACATGAGTCACTTTGTTAGTTGTTATAATTTTACTGAATAAAAGTACATTTTTGTTTAAGAAATTAAGCATATAAAGGGAAAAAATAAGTAAATGCTTGTAGTAATCAGTAAGCAGAAAACTTACATTGTCAGTTACAAAAGTCTTGTCGTTTTTCAGAGTACATGAGAATTTGGTAACATTGAGACTGCTGTCCCAGGTCATCTCTAGTTTTCTCAGATTCACCCTCAAGTTCGTAATGTGCGAAGGTGTGTCGTTTACTGAAATGAACATCAGAAAGATGTGATAGGATTTCTCCACGTTTTCAAGTGAAGAGGCCATTATCTATCAGGCATAACATGACAAAACCCAGTTTTTTAAAATATCTCAGTCAATGTATTTCACTTACAGTCTGTACACTGGAGGACAGCCTGCACTGAAGAAAATGACACGATGCACCAGATCATGACAGTGAGCCCTGGAACAGCCATCACGCTTTCTTTTTTTCCCCTCTCCTTTGGAAACACAGGAATGAAACCTTCAAGAGAAGAAAGATACAAGGAGCACTTAGATTCCTATAATTTCTTTTAAGGAAAAAGACTTTTTCTAACTATTATCTAAAGGCATCTAAGCATTTATCATGTACCTACTAGTAGCAGGGTTCAATGGCTAAGGCATTGAATTGGGGTTTAGAGACATAATAATATAGGACTCAAAGGGGCCTCCCAGACAACTAAATTCATCCCCTGCATTCATCCAGCTCTGGGAGCTGGTATGATCCTAAGCATATAAACAAAACCCTTCAGTCAGGCACTTGGGAAATTTATCATTAGCATTAGGAGAATCAGGGCACCACAACAAAACACCTACATCTAGCCATAGCTAAAGTCCCATGCTTCACAGGAAAGAGAAAGAAACCAACCAAACAAAAAACAAAACAAAATGCCAAAGCAAAACCCAAACACCCAAAAGAAGCCAAATAATTAAAGTGGAAAACATTTCTCTTAGCACTTCTAGGTGATGAGCAGAAACCCTGAAGCATGAGATTTGCAGATGCTTCCCAGAGACTGACTTTCCTTTCTAGCCCTTCAGGTAGGTATGAAATACTCAAATATACTGTATATATCATATGTTTAGCTTACTCAAATATACTGTATATATCATATGTTTAGCTTACTGCTTCAGGACTGCTGGGAAGAGCAGTCGGCCAGGTCCGAGTGCGTGCGCAGGTTCTTGGAGAGAGTCCAGGACCTTCATCTAACCCAGGAGGTGCACAGCCCCACCAGGGGGATGCCTTGTTGGACTTGGTGTTGGCCACGGGCGACGACCTGGTGAGGGGGCTGCGGGTGCTTGACCCCCTGGGCGACAGTGACCACTGCCTGCTAAAATTCACCATTCAGCGCAAGGTAGCAAAGGCAAGCAGTCAGGTGGTGGCCCTAGATTTTAGGAAGGCGAACTTCAACGAGCTAAGGAGGATAGTTGGAGAAGCGCTGAAGACTCAGAGGGGAGGGGAGCCGGGTGCCCAAGGGGAGTGGTCGCTCCTTAAGGAGATGATCCTCCAAGCCCAGAGGAAGGTAATCCCCAGGAGGGTCAAAGGGGGCAGGAGAGCATATAAGCCTCCATGGCTCACTAAAAACATCTGGGAATGTCTCCTTGCCAAAAAGGAGGCTTACTCCCAATGGAAAGGAGGGGTCATCACTAAGGAGGACTATTC